GATCGTTTCTAATTACTCTGTAATTGGCTATTTTTGGGTCTTTAATGCTAGGCTTAAGAAAAGTCTCTTGCACTAGCAATATATCAATCTGATGATCAGTGAGGAAGGTTCTGACTTCGTCAATTTGATTTTTAAGGCCGTGCGCATTGAAGAAGGCGACAGCTATCGATCTAGGTTTTATTCTGGCTTTAGTTGTATTATCCATTTAGAAGAATAAAACCGAGCATATTCATCTAAAACACCAGGTTGGCCTTTTAAAACAAAACAAGCTCTCTCCTTGAATGTGCATGTACTTGTGTGATCTATAATTTATTTCCCATAAAATCGCGTTATTTCGCCTTAAAGCGTCATCAGGTTTATCATGGCATAATAATAAACACTTTTTGAAGTGATAACTTCTTTAGAATCGTTTTGATTGATTAAAAAATTTACATTAAAAAGAGACAAGCATATACATCTATAGACTTTAGCCTGCTAGAGAATGAAATAGAATACAGTATACAGTGTTTCCTATTATCTTGGTTGCCTTTTCTGAAGATTTCACTTCTACTGTTTGTGGACTGCACGCTTTTTTTTATTAATTCGTATACCTAAAAATAACAAAGAAATTGCTGATTTAATTATCCACATTCAATTTCAGTTTGGAAAGCTCCGTATTTTCAATTATAAAGTTCAACGAAAAGCCAGCTAAATGAGCGTGACCGCATAACGGTAGGGTAAACGTCACAACCACAGAGCTCCACGTTGAGCCTCTACCAATAAACTCGCTTGTTTGCGCCTACATCGTACACTGATTTTATATGTATTCATCTCTCGACGCAATCTGTTGTACACAAAGAGCTATCGAATGAAGCGCGTAATGTACAACGTTATGGCGTTAACTTTCATTTGTGTATTTAAGCTTATTGCAATGTAACACAATAGTGCTGGAAGCTAAAGAGCGCCCCTCTAGCATTTAGCGAGCATTTAGTTGAGGGGAGAACATGTCACACCCTAATTAGTATAGAATGAAATGGGCCTTTTTACGCCTATTTTATTGTTTGGCTTAAATGAAAGTTGTCGAAGTTAAACGATTGATTGAAATAATGTGTTTAATACTGCTGAAAATAATTGCATATATATATATATATATATATATATATATATATATATATATATATATATATATATATATATATATATATATATATATATAGAAACAGAAACAGAAACAGAAACTTTTTTATTCAATATAGATTATAAATAATACTTATTGAAAGTCATTCTTTTGTTTGATTACCACTGGTTCGGAAAAAACCTCTGTCCTGGGAAGAACCAGCAAGAAACCCAGCGGGACTTTTTTTTTTAAATAACAGCTTACAATCATGATGTTACACAAATTAACAACACAACAAATTAGAAATAGCTTGGTAGCGATCACCTCATTTCCAGGGGTTATTATCATCCATATATTATATATATATTAAATTGTATTTTTGTTATTAGTACCATATATACTTTCATATGCATTTAGTAAAAAGCTGCAATTTTGACATTATACATAGACACTTCAATTTTATTTATTTGTATAGATAAAGAGCAAATGCGCGATACCTTAAATATGGATGGAACTTGTTCTTCACACCACATTCGGACAAAAAGTTTCCATATGCTAGTGTATAGCTAGTCTAGTCTAGAACTAGTCGATGATCGGTCCAAAAATTAACTCCACGCATGACACGAGTCACTTTGACTTAGGAGATGTCTTTATGTCGTACGATAGCGTAGTTTATCAAATGCCAATGTTTCGACCTCGGATGCATCCATGTGGTTTTGTGTTTGGTGACGAAAAATAGTGTTTGTCAAACTGATCACACAAACTAAGCAGTAATTGAACATTACTTACGTTTATGCAATCGACACCATGTCTACCTAGTACATTTGGCCGAGCATCACAGTCACGGCCAACGCGCGCGTTGATGTCTCCGAGCAGTGAGATTTGCTCCGTTGAAACTTGAAAATATTTTTGTAAACAAATTGGTAAGTTTGAAAAGATATACAAATATTTGACAAAATATATTTTTATATTTTATTCTTATTTTATATCAATGCTGTCGTGTGTTATTCATATTTTCGTTAATTCAAAATTGTCGCACGATTGTTCCATATATGAATTGTTTTTGTTTCGTATGGTGAGTGTAGAGACTAGAGACTCTTTTTACTGGAAACAAGGCATTCCATCTTAGTCCTCAGGGGTGACAACGCATCTGCATACTAACTTTAAATCGGAGATAAATATAGACGTGAGAGACTATGAGATAATTGGAGACGACTATGGCCCCCAGCATCCACTTATCAGCAGGTGGACTCTGTGCTCGGTTGTCATCCTTATTTTTTAAAAAAATGAGCTGCCACAACAGCTACCTATGTTCCTCCAATATTAAATGTCAGTAAATTCATACATTTTAACGAATTTCTAAATGGAAACAAAGTAAGCGATTCGTCCACATGTCGCCCATGGTTAATCCCCTACTATTGAGCCAATCGTTTGACGCGCCGCGATACTAAGTGATTGACTTTTCAATCTATATAATCCGATTATAGATGGCCTACAACACAGTTCGCTCTCTAGCGTCCACACTGATAGCACTTTAATTCATGTTGTATAAGGTCGAAAATGGCGCATTCTGTGCGACAGATGGTGAATATAGCTGCTTAGTCGAGTGTACGAGGTAAGTGCCGGCAACGGGCAGCCTTGTGTTAGTTAATTGTTAGAATACATTATTTATTCCAATATAATATTATGCGTGTTTTACGACAGATTAATGTGATTTGTGACGATTTCTTTGACGAAATAGTTTTAAGCAATAACTTTCATTATAATTAAGGATTAACTTGCGATAAATTTCAATTTCGCGTCAATATATTTAATAGCACTAAGCTTATATCCGTCTATCTTGATATATGATAATATCGTGTATTTTAATTTTAATAGACGAATTATTTATTGCTATAAATTAATTTTACTAATTTTATACGATGTTTTAAATTACTGTTGCCCCAATTCGAACACAATTAAATAAAACTGGTGTCAATAAGTATAAACCACCAAGTTTTGATATGAAAACATTGTAGTGTGGCCCACGTGACATTAATATATTATATATTAATGTTAATTGTAGATAATATTAGTCTAATTTATACATCTATACCTATAAATAACATTGAAGTGTCTGTTTTATTAAATTAACTAACTTTTATTGAGCTTAGCTCTTTTTTTATAGATACTCGTACTTTCACGCAGAAAGTAGTACACATGGTGGACTTAATGCCAAAGAGCATTCTCTCCCAGTCCACCACTAGGCTAAACAGAGATAAACATATAATAGGCGGTGGAGCAATAATCAAAATAGAAAAGATTAAAAAATTATATATATACTAGCTCGCTAGGCAGACGTTGTTCTGCTCTTTCCAACGACACTTCCTATAAAAATCCTTAAATTCGCAATAAAAAATTTTGAAGGTCATTTATCGGGATAAAAACTATCCTATCTCTAAAGTTGGACCAAAATGCACACAGTGTGCAAAATTTCATTGAAATCAGTTCAGTAGTTTAGGAGTCCATCGCGGACAAACAACGTGACACGTAATTTTTATATATAAAGATATATGTATGTATATCTTTATATATAAAAATTATTCTTCCTTTTCTAATAAAAATTTCACGTACAGATCAATATCAGGAGTGATTTAGGCTTCATCTTATCCGAAATATGTGCAATTTTTTTTTCAAAAACTTGATGTTACTTGTACCCTGCAGCCATAATTCAACTACAGCGCTGCTCTACCACGTAGGTACCGTTCTTCATCGTATAGTGACAAGGTAAGAGGATCGGCTGCCCCAGTTATCCTGTGGGTGTTGTAAAATGTGATAGAGCAAACTGAAACAGGAGATGGGCAGCAGCATCTTCCTGATAACTTAATAAAAACATAGAAACTATGATTGACGGCTCCGTGGCGCAGTGGCTTAGCAATGAGTTGTTGCACTGGGTGCCGCGGGTTCGAATCCCGCACGGAACAAGTATTTGTATGGCCTACAAATAATTGTTCCGGGTCTGGATGTTTGTCCTCGTGAAATTTATGTGTGTAAACTGCCTCCATGATACAGGAGAAAATCCTAGGGTGGGGGTAATGTCTTTTTATAAAAAAAAATGATTGCCACCTGCTAAGCGTAAAAAATATTCCCCATGAGGCAATCTATGGGATAGATCTATGTTCAGCAGTAGACTTTTGTCGGGCTGTAAATAATTAATGTATGTGGCTAAACCACGGAAATAACTATGTTTGTCTTTACATTTACTAAGTAAAAAAATCAGTTTTTTGACGTCCTCGATACTCTCTATTACAGAGGCAATGAAAAGATCAATTATATAAGAGTCAATCAAAATTTATAACAATTTTCGGAATTATTCAATAAATTGAATTAGGTAGTTTTACGGATTTTATAGCGTTTATTAGTTCTTGTTAAGTTTCGAGTGCTCTAGAACCTACGCCTGGTCGCGGGAGTAATTAAAAATAAGTAAAATTAAACGCGATAGAATCCGCAAAACTAGTTTTAAGCAAAGTGCTATCTTCGCGTAAATACAGGAAATCATTTTTCAAATAACTCTCTCTCTCAAATAACTCGTTTAAATTATATTTATAATAATTTTTAACCAATAGGTACTTTACAAAGAAATATTGAATGTTTGTGGTAAATTATAATTGATTTTAAAATTCTAGATAATAAATTAACCTTCGTTAGTAAATCGAGCCATAGATTATTCATGTATTATTATATTTTGAGATATTATCTCCGTTAGAAAATAAGTTGGTAGTTAGCCCTCTGAAGTTGCTCTGACCTTGCAGAGTGTAACATACACCTACCAAAAAGTACACGTGTTATATACTCGTATGTAATATGAGATGCAATAGACAATTGGAATTTGAAGGTTATACCTAACTGTTACTTGTAGCCTTACCTTGACTTGTGACTCGGTCATGCCGAGCGCGTACGCGAGCTTGGCCCTCTCGGGTCCCGCGAGGTATTTGGTTTGCTCGAAAGTCTTCTCCAGCGCGAAGATCTGCTGCCCGCTGAAGGTAGGCCGTGTGTGCTTCTTTTTCCCGTCCTTGTCCATGCCCCCAGCTTGGGCGGCGCATGCACTGAGCGCACCATTGCTCACTGAAAGATGAAAAGTCTATGAATATATGTAGGTGATGTTTTTTTAATGAAGATGATGATGATATCATTGTCTATATATAAAATCAAAGTATTGGTTTGGCTGTGTAGTGATTATAAGGAAGTAGTCTAATAATCCGCAGTGTTTAGCGTTAGTTATTTTATAGAATAAGCACAAACACACATAGTCTACGTCGCTAGAAGTGACGCCCTGATTTGTTCGTTTGCAATACTTCCTATAATATTCAGCAGCGAACTTTTATGGGCTGTAATGGACGGATGGATGAAGGACACATTTATGATACCACTAAAAATGTTGTTCACAATAAACAGTAAATGATCTGTATACAACAGTCTACAATGAGTACTGGACGGCGGTGCCATCGCAAGATTAATGGCCGCCGTGTACTCATTAATTACACCAAATTTCGCGCCAATGCACTCCGCTTGACGTTTGAATCGGTCAACAAATGGCCGCCAAGCATAAATCAAACGTTATTATTCAACAACATAAATTTAATGTCAGTTACGACCTAAAATTCGAGAATCTATCATTCGGTGGCAAATGGCAGAAATTTCTCAGTGACCGTGATGGAACACCATCTCGTAGATTCTAGATATAAATTAAAAAACTCCATGACATGCGAAGTCTGCCTACAACGGCTGTGCTGAGGTTAAAACACACTGCAGTGATAGGGTTAGCCAAGTTACCTTTCTATAATCTTTAACGCTAATAGAAAACTATAAAAACTGTCACGTGATTAAACGTTGAAATAAATATGGTCATGCACATGCATTTTTAGTGTTTTCTATTTTGTATTTTGAAGGATGTCAACTTGGTTTACTCCGCTGCACTGAACAACAGCGTTTATTAGCGGTATAATAATTTTGTTAACAACAAAGAGGTTTTAAGTATATTATTATCTTTATAATTTGTTTTGTTTATTTTGTTCTAGAAATATAGGTATAGTCAATTAATTCAATAATTCAATTTATACAAGTAATAAATTATTTTCATTTTTATGCAGTATTTACACATCTTATCCAATTATTCTATAAAAAAAACATAATGTTCTATAAAAAAAAACATAGTGTTTCATATAGAGAATGATTAGAACCGTAAGCCATTTCAATTGATAAAGGAGGTTGTTTTTTTATATAGGATAAGGGTGGTGGAGGGACAAGCGGTTGCTATGGTCGATAGACATCTACATCTATCCTCGATTTCGGATCAAAATGCAGATTGTTGTCACCCGTTAGGACTAAGATGGAATGCCTCGTTTCCAGTAAAATGCAAATTCGGTTCTCTGCACTCACCATACGAAACACAGCAACGTTAAGCTAATTTACGCTGGTATTCTGTAAGAGTGTGGTCCCCCGTCAAGCCTACCCATTCGTGCTACAACTATACCATTAATATAGCTGCAGCATGGCTCTACCACGTAAAAAGATCCATAATAACTATACTTCTATATTGGTGTGAATGAGGGTAAAAAATAAAAGGAAATACGAACAAATGAAGGTAGAATGGGAATCTCCGACTTGTTTTAGGAGTATTAAGTGTCGCACAGGCGACTAAGAGGCATCAGTCTGTAATTCTAAGAGTCCCACTGTCGTTACTATGCAACGCGTGTTGGCGAACTTCACATGTCTTCGAAAATATTTTTTTTTCTTATTTCTCAGACATGCAGGTTTCATCACGATGTTTTCTTTCACCGTCGAGCACGTGGTAAATCAGAACTTAAAATTGCAATTAACAATTTCATTAGTGCCGGCGGGGATCGAACCCAGGTTGCTCGGGTATACTGTGAAATTTACAGCGAGAGTGAACCATCTGTGCTACCACGGCAAATACATTAAATTAAGTAAAATAAAACATTCATTATTTACCTTCACACTGCCAACATCAACACCCATAAATGTATGATTAGAGATATTCATACAGTAGAGATTATCGCCAAAGAATTATAATAAAATATAAAATATATAAATAATTTTTGACAGAATGACTGGAATGACTGGACTTGACTGGACTGAGTGAGCTGTGGAGTGTATGTCAAGGTAAAAAAAGCATTTATATTTATTAAATATTTTTATATTGAATATCTGTATTTCGTATAATGTACTATTAAGAATAGAATACAACTTTGTTAATATACAGACCTAAAAATTTATTGAATTACGGTCGTATTTCGATACAACTTCCCCGTCCGCGAAAAAGACAGTAATTAAACAATTTAAATGTTCATGTATAACTCACAGGACAGTAAAATGGTTAATCAAGGCAGGTGCTTTGCATCCTTAAGTGTTGACAAATAGAAAAGACTATTTACGTGTGTAAAAAATAAAACTTATCTATGAGTATTAAGATCGACAAAGCAAATCTACAACGTTATAGTTCGCTCACAAAATGGAGTAGTGTGTAAATTTTAACTGGTCCATGGAAGACAAAGTTTCCGCGCAAACGCTCCCCGGCGGAGACGGTTTTATCATTATTTTCATTTCATTTTTTCCTGTCGTGTCCCTCGCCTCCCGAGGGAGGGGTGAAGCGATGCCTCACAAACATTTGAACGCGATGAAAATATCGCTATAGACTTTAAATGCGGTTATTGTTTTGGGTTCACGCAACGCGACTTTAAAGGCCTTCATACGGCCCGAAATTTTAATTTTATTTGCTTGAAAATAAAAAAGTTTCAAGCACTTCACAATACCAATCGTTGGGGGGGGGGGGGGGGGGGGGGGTTGTTGTAACCTTACGTAGTAAATGTAAGGTATTACTTAGCATAACAAAAGCCTATTCACTCTTGCCTTGAAGGTACACACGTGACGATAAAGTTAGGTTGATCTTAAATCAGAATATTAGTCTGGAAATGAACAATTATGTACCTAATCATAATAATCCTATTAAATATATAAGCTTAGTTTAAGTCTTCGTCGTGAGGCTATTGAAATTAAAACCTGCTTGGTGGGATCCTGTAATTAATAAAATTAAAACTAAACCCAACCATACCACTGCAAGACTTCAAGACACAGTAAGTTCATTCTGCATAAATCAGATAAAAACGAATGATTAAAAAAGCTGAAGTTACTCCGGGTTAACTCTGACATCGAAATGTCAATCACCTCAGTCCCCCGTGACTATGGGGACTGTAAAGCACCCGAAACGCCGGGAATTTAATAAAAATAAGTTAATTAAACGCGATAGAGTCCATAAAAGTAGTTTTATACAAATAGAGTATGAAATATTGATCTAGACACTTATTTGTAACTAGCGACCCGCCGTGGCTTAATCTGGTTAGAATTTTTAACAGTGGTAGAGCCACGCAGCAGCTTTTGCTGTCGCACGGATGGGCCAGCTCGAACCGGGGTGGTACCACGACCTCACAGAATACCAGCGTGAAGTAGAGGTTTACCTCTGCGTTTCGCTTGGTGAGTGCAGGTGGCCGGAGGCCCTTTTTACTGGAAATGAGGCATTCCATCTTAGTCCTCACGGGTGACAACGCATCTGCATTTTGATTCGCAAACGAGGATAGATGTGGATGTCTATGGGCCGCAGTAACCACTTACCATCAGGTGGACTGTGTGCTCGTTTGTCACCCTTATCGTATAAAAAAAAACACATTCAATGATGATGGTAAGTGGATGATGTGGCCCATAGAAATCTACATCTATCCTCGATTAAGTTTTAAAATCCAGATGCGTTATCACCTCTGAGGACTGAGATAGAATTCCTGAATGATAGGTAGAATTACTTTTTGAAAAAGAAAACAAAAAGTGATAAAATAAATGGCCTTTAACTATCTTAAATCTAATTACATTTTACGTGGTAGAGCCACACTGCAGCTATATTACAGTTGTAGCACGAATGGGTCCGCTCGACGGGGAAAGGACCACGCTCTTTCAGAATACCAGCGTGAAATAACAGCTTTATACTGCTATGTTTCTTTTGGCGAGTGTAAAGAACCGGAGAGTCTTTTCGCTGGAAACGAGTACATATCCGTCTTCAGGGGATCCTTAACCGAGGAATAATGTAGATGTTACCTTAAAAGGCATAGATATATTTGCATCATCTATAGTTATATCTTACCATTAGTTACAACTTACCATCAGGTGGACTGTGTGCTCATTTGTCACCCCCTTATTCTATGCACGATATTGCTTCCGAAAAGTTTGGGAGATTTTTTGAAAAAAAAAATTATAATTCATAAAATGAATGCGATACAATGGATTTTAATAGGATAGTAAATTAAAGCTTAAGTTTCTATGCATAGCTAGTGGTTGACTGGTAGAGTATGCGTAAATATATTAAGTCCACCAATTGTACAATAAAGTACAATGTGCAATAAAGATTTTAAATAAATAAATTAAATTATTAAAAAAGATAAAAAAAATACAGAATTCTAATAAAATACTGGGAAGATGTCTGTCGGTCAGACAAGTGCCGCCGCGTCATATGGCAACACCGCTTTTTACATAGCCATATTGCACCGCGTCATGCATTATGCAAAGAGCTTGTTAATATTGGGCGGGAACTTGCGAGACTACGTAACATTGTTATATACGTCATAGTACATTTACATTATATCATATATAATTATTTAGTTTGAATTATTTTAGATCAGTGCTGTAAGGCAAAATTATGTTTTAATAACTACACCCCCCCCCCCCCCCCCCCTCTTGTTCTTATGTATGAAGTGTTTACCGCCCAGAGATGAAGATGGAAAAAATAACATTGTACATTCTCTACAGCCGTAACTTTTTTCACAGTGATATGGGACGAACATAGATGACTTTTGAACTACCTAAATGTAGTTATGTATGAGCTATATTATTGTAAATAATTTTTGTATATTATTGTATATATACATATCTGTACAAATTAACAGTAGCTAAGTATTTACTTGTTGTCTACCTATCTGTCTATTCTTCAACTCAACCCGATAAATATTATGAGTATTTTTAGGTAGTTTTACAGAATATTTTTAGGTAGTTAGTATAGAGGG